ATAGGATTCAGAATGAGTGGACTTCAGTTTGTGGTGAATATTGCTTAATGTATTTGCTATATAAATTTCAGGAATGTTTAATGCATAGTTTCACGGGAATATTTACAGGACACACTGTACAACGATATTTTAGTGGATGAGATGTTTCGCTCTTATTTTATAGATAATAAGCAATAACATTTTAGAAATAATAATTGTAGCGAAATTAAGGAATGTGTTTTATTGATGATTCAGAATAGCGTGGTAGTTATGAACAAAGAAGTATAATACAATAGCACTAAGCAGGATATACAGCGAGTAATAGATAAGAGCGGCAGTGACGGCGTTGAAGGAACAATAGATAAGAGGAAAGGCTGAACAATGGAAACGCTAATGATGGTGCAGGTCCATCGGATATCAATTAGATATTAGTTAATTGATCTGCACATCTCCGGAACCGCGTATCCTACGCAAAAACGGACCGCAGATTCGTGATCAGAGCATGCCAAAACTTTTTTATTTTAGGATCCTTCGACCCACCGTCAGCAGATGAGGGCTGAGTGAGCCAGAACTGGTACAAACTAATTACTGTTTGTTACCAATCCAAAGCGTAGCGATTAGACATTATTAAATTTATATTTTTTTTTACTTGTCGTAAGTCAGTACTTGATCAAAACCCCACCTGGTCATAAGTGGTCATGATGCCCTATATGGTAAGTCGCACTGTCTTAGATTACTTGCGGAAGGAGAACCTTACTGTGGGGAAAACCGTAGTAACTTAGTGGATAAGTGGCCGTATAGTGCACGATACTGTAACTTACATACCTTTACAACATATTACATTTTCTGAGCAAGCTGAACTATGCGCACAAAATTCCACATTATTCGATAGATCGTTACTCCGAAAGTTACAATGTCAATACGTTACGTTATTCTATGGTCATGCGCAAAAAAAGGAACTAATTTTCGGTACATACTGCTTCCTCAATTAATGTGAATCATCGTTATGAGATTTTGGAATTTTTGAAGTACATATTTATACATAGCAAATAATCAAACATACATTAACCGTGTAGTGGCAGTGTAAGAATATCCACTACTCCATTATAGTAAGTTCTGTGGATAAGAGGCGACAGAGGACATGGGCGCTGCATTTTCCTGATAACAAGTGAAAAGTGAAAACCTATAGCAAAATCCCCCATATGAGGATGAGGCCTATGTTGAACAGTGGACATTTTTAAGCGGATAGTGAACTATGTGGGTGGATGAATGGATGATGCATTAATATAGTGAGTCTGTCATAACTCATAAGTAATAAAAATATTAGATATATGAAATCACAGACGCAATAACCAGTAATACTTACATAGTATTTTACAGTAACAATTTACACACGTTCTGCAACCTCTTATTTATGTAATGGATACTATGTAATGTCAATTTTGAAAGCATTATTTTAACCCTAAGATTATTTCATTATTTTAGTGCTTTTGAGAATATCCATTATATCGCCTCGTCGGTGCAGTAAGAGGCTACAGAGGGAAAAGAATCAGTGGCTGGGCAGCAGCAACCAAAATATAAAAAACTGTCATTGCCAACTCGTCAGCCAAGCAGTGGCGGCCCTGGCAAAATTTTTAGGTGGTGCGAGATCTCATAGTGACGCCCCAATTAATACAAAATATATGATACTATACTATGCAGTTGTTTTTTTCGTGATTTTAAATGGTATTTAAACCTATCAAATATCTACAGTTGTGTCTGTCGCTCTTGCTGTAGCCGTAGGCCCCGTGCGCGAAATCAACTCATTTCGGTCAAATCTGATCATTGTTTGTGTGAACAGCAAAACGAATTTTAACTTTTTTTTATTTTTATTATAATAGTCTAGTTCTTAATCTAATATCTGGCTCGAAGGGATGTATCATATTATCTATATAATAATGGCAAATCACCAATATTCACAACCCTTTTTCCGAAAAGTAACGGTCAAGTGATTTTTGTCTTCGTTTTACAACGAAACCCCAAAATATTTCAAACATTAAAAAATATAAATAACATAAGTATACGGTCTACTTGTTTGTAGCCAGATCAGTTTTTTTAATTTCTATCCAAATACAACAGAAAAAAATTGTTGAAGTAACGAAAACTTCGTTCGAAATAAGTATTTTTTCTATTACATAGAAACACTTTTAATTAATTTAAAAAATTACACATTAATTTTAAGATAACCCTTTATTGGAAACTAAATTTTATTTCATAAATAAATAATAATTTCGTTTATTACTAAATGGCAAAGTGAACTATATTATCGACCGCGCAAAATCGATCCGATCAGTGACGAGTGACGACCGGGCCTTCCCAGAGCGAGGACGTATCACTTTGCATCGCAGGCGCTCCCGTGTTTTACGTAAACATTTCCAGAAATTGTACGCCGACCACCAAATTTTGATCAGGGTAAGGATTTTTCTTTGGATAGTTTGTTTATTAAGAATAATAATATGTTGCACGCCTGGTCTTTATTTAAAAAGTTCAGGTGTGCGTGTTCGTAATTCTTGTTATCCTAAACGGCTATACCAATTATGATGACTTTTTTCTTCGTATGGGATGATTCTTAGTACCTAATAGTTAGATCCGGCTGCTGTCTCAGTACGTCTGCTATGTTCATTGATATTTTATTTTTGATAGTTTTTTTTTAAAATGATTAGTACCCATTTCAGATACCATTCATAAAATACGATTTTGTGTACTGTTGCATTTCATTATGTCCGCATGAAATAATGCAAAAATACCACCCGCGGCTGCAACGAATTGGGTCAAAATTAAGATACCTAAATTGTGATCTATGGCAGGGTGACAAACCTATAAAGATCAATGTGTCATTCTTTGTAAATAAATGTTTAAAGCGGCTATAGATGTGCCATCCAATAATTGAGACCTAGTAATTATTGGGAAAATAATAAAAACATAATAGCAACTCCACGCACCGCGCCTACTCACTCCGTAACGTAGACTTAGTCGCGTTCTTTTGTTTTTCATAGTGTTTGTTACGTACTTTGTCGATCGGTGGCGTGCCTAAAATGTTTTGCCGCGTGCCATTGGTTCGCCATCCCTGATCTAGGGTTTGCCCTGTAGGTAACTGGTTATAATTTATAATTTTGTTGTAGACAATGGGACGAATAAAAGGAGCACGTTACCAGTGCATTACTAAAAGAAAAAAAAATAAGGCAGGATTGGCATATGCTAGACAAATTCTTGCAGAACGTACATAATTCTAATACGAATTATTCTCTAGAACATGTGAGTTTTTCATTTTGCTCAGCGCTAGACGTGCATAAAGTACACATGCCAGCACGTCAACCTATCCCAAGCTTTAAAATTTTTCCCTTCCTACCTTCTCCTTTTGTAATAAAGCAAAAAAATCTATAAAAAGAAATTTGACAAATATTTAAAGAAATTTGACAGATTGGCGTAGGTTCATGTGCTGGCGTCTATAAATCCAATATATTCTTATTTTATTCATATTCATATTCAAAATTAATAATTTTAGGATATAGATGACACTGGAAGTTGTGAAGGGGTAGTTGAAGGTGATGTTGACCATTCATGTCAACTTGATTTAGAAATGGTATCATCTTGGTCTCAATTACATTACCGCTCAAAATATTTAGAAACCTTAAGTTTTCTTCTTATTAGACCTTTTAAAATCATATTATTAAGCCAAATACTTTTTAGTGGTAATGTAAATAAATTATTAATTTATAATAATTATTATGTCTAAATGATGTGCATTTAACTTCTGGGCAATAGAAATTCTATGGAAAAATTCCAAAATATCACAGTCTTTCGGGACAGATAGAGGAGACAACGTAGAAATGTAGGTAAATTTTTAAATGTTTTAATGTACTAAAACTTCGTTTCCGTTTAGCGACAGTTATAGTACAGGTATAGTCAGCAAGATACGAAGTGCTGTCTACATATTGGAAAATACGAAGTGCTGTCTACATATCCACAATCAGTCTGGATGTGCAGAGGCGTTTTTTCCGTTAAGGAACAAAACCGGCACATCCTTGAGTTGCTTAGTCCCAGGATGGCCTCATGCTTTTCAAGACAACAGAGTCCAGTCAATGCTCTTGCCAGAATGCGCAGCTTATTTTTACCTAATCCCAGGGCTTCTAAAGCGAATTTACGATCAAAAGCCTGAATTAAGGTTTTAAAATGTTTTAAGCCTGGTGTATCAGACCAGGTCTTAAGTGATTTATAATAATAATAGTATAGCTATACCAAACACCCACAATCTAAGTCAAACATACACTGAAAAGATTACAAAATTCTTCGATTTGACATCGGAAATAAAAAGTCAATGGCACGCCAAAGACGTAAAAGTGGTTCCTATTGTCATTTCGGCTACTGGAGTAGTACCAAAATCCTTACATAATAGTCTAAAATTACTTCAGTTACACTCTTCAATATATGTAGAATTACAGAAAGCTGTTATTTTAAATACCTGTAGGATTGTGCGTAAATTTTTGTCCTATGATAGGTAAGAAGTAAGAACACATTTTGATTTATTTACAGCTTCTATACTCATAAGATATATCATTTTAGCTTGGTGTAAAGCCCGCTGAATATATCTTTCTTTACCCCTCAAAACGGGAGATAAAAAAGAAATAATATTAATAATAATAAATAATAAAAAAATGGATGATGGATTTGACTAGTATGCGCAAAGGGCCGCTGCCTGGAGGACACCAGGGCGTGTCTGGAGCTGGCGCTGGACGCGACAGCATGCGAACCGCCAGCCAACGAGTGCGAGGTGCTGCATGACCACCCAGCAGCCCCTCGCATCCATCATCCCCACTAGCTAGCTTGGTGTCGGCAGGGTCTTCGCGGGCCCAGCAATCGGCACCCGCCACTGGTGGAGCACGCCGCGTGCGTTGGACAACTCAAATGAACAGCAACGCATTGCGGGCGTATTTTAGGGCGAAAGGGGGAGAAATTGGAGGAACTTTGCGTATCTGGCAACGATGCATCGACTTTTTGCTGAGCTGGAGCCATCTGTAACCGTCACCGAGCAAAACCTGGCAGACCGAGTTCGGTATATCTTGCGCTCAAATACATTTGATGTCACCGAACTCGAACGGCTACGACGTGAGGCTGTTCCTTCATCGGATGAAAATGCTACGGCTGAGGATGCGGCGCCACAACTTGCAGAGCAACCGGCAAACGTGGATGCCGTCGTGAATACCCCAGTTTTGGTTGATTCAAACGATGATGGAACAGTCGCCCAGGAACTGGAACTGGAGCAAATGAGGAGTACATTGGATGAGGCGATTTTGGAAACGCGCAGTACGCCTCTCGAAAATCGACCGCCACTTCCCCGCATAGCCCTCAGCAAGCGGAATTGGGCTACCGTGAGGGCTCTGAACCCAATGCTGGTAACCTATTTGGAACCCAGCCGGGACTTTTGCGAGACGGACTCAATTCTCTTTGGCGCCGCACTGGCAGTCTGCCGTATTATTGGTGCCAAACTTTCCACGGCTGGACGCACTACTGGACAAAGTAGTGCTATCCTAGCCTGGAGAACAAGAATTGAAGAACGTATCGCAAAGGCCATGGCCCTCATCGGCAGACTGATATGCTTCAGGTCAGGCAATACCAGGCCAAGGATTGTGCGCACCGTCAGGATGGCGTTTTCTGGGACAAATGTTAGTTTGTCCCAGCCGGATATAATGCTAAAACTGAGGGAGCGCATAGACGACCTGAAGCAGAGAATCGCTGCATGGGGAAAGTGGATTCGGCGATATACCGAGAGGTTGACACGGTTCAACCAGAATCCACTCTTCCAGAGTGATCAGAAGAGGCTCTATAAATCATTGGAGCGACCAATGGTAAGTGGAACGGGCCCAGTACCGAATCTGACCGACACGGTCGCATTCCGGCGCAGCCTGTGGTCAGAGCCCGTAAACCACAATGAGGGCCCTTGGACGGAAGTTGTGGCGAGTCAGTGTGCGGGTATTACGCCCATGGACCCCGTCATCATAACGCCGGATGACGTAGCTGAGGCGGTCCGTAGGGCTCCGAACTGGAAAAGTCTGGGGCTTGACGGGCTGCATCACTACTGGCTGAAGGGGTTCATAGTGTGTTATGCTGTGCTCGCTCGACAGTTTCAAGAGGCTCTCAACCAGAAGTCGCTCCCGAGCCTCTTCACTACTGTGATCACTCATTTGGTTCCTAAAGATCAGGGTGCCACAGACCCGAGCAAATACCGCCCCATCACGTGTCTACCGACCATATACAAGACACTAACATCAATTTTGAGCGCGAGAATCACTCTTTACCTGGACTCAAATCAGGTGATGTCGCGCGCTCAAAATGGATGTTGGGGCGGCGGTCGTGGAACCAATAAACCACTCCTCATTGACGCGGTCATTGGCAAAGTGGTGAAACGCAACCGTCGGAACTTCTCCGCCGCCTGGATAGAGAACATTTGACTCGGTGCCCCATACATGGCTAAAGAGGGTCCTCGAGCTGTACAAGATTGACTGTACAGTTCGAGACTTCCTCGAGCAGTGTATGGGGCAGTGGAGTACGATCCTCTGTCATCTGGCGAGCGGATGACGGGTGCGGAAAGCCGCATAAGGATAAGAAAGGGTATATTCCAGGGCGACTGTCTGAGTCTGAGAGTCCAACCTGGTTCTGCCTCTCTTTGAACCCTCTCAGTACTTTACTGGAGGGCTCCGGGAGGGGATTTCAGATTCGGAAAGAAGGTACAAAAGTGACCCACCTTTTCTATATGGATGACCTCAAATTATTCGCCTCCAGTCGCTCCCATCTTATGGAATTGCTAAACATCACTTGTGAATTTAGCAATTCTATTAGAATGGAGCTGGGAACGGATAAGTGTGCGGTCCTCCATGTTGAAAGGGGAAGGGTTGCTAACTCTGAGGGCATAGACTTATCTATGCCCGTCAACTTAAGGACCCTTTCCGAGGCTGAAACATACAGATAGCTGGGTATGTCACAGAACATCGGTATCGATGAGGGTGGTATGAAACAGTCAGTTTGCGACGTGTTTTATGCACGCTTGACCAAAGTGCTTAACAGCCTTTTGTCCGGTGTGAATAAGACACACGCATATAACGGCTGGGTCATGCCTGTCCTCATGTATACTTTTGGCATACTCAGGTGGAGTCAGACTGAACTAAACGCCCTGGATAGAAAAGTCCGCACTACAATGACGTCCCATAGGATGCATCATCCGAGATCGTCGGTAATGAGGCTGTATTTGCCGCGAAAGCATGATGGACGTGGCTTCTTGAGCGCGCTCACCATGCATAATCGCGAAGTGTGCAGCCTCCGTCATTACTTCCTGGCGAATGATCTACGGATAATCCATTCTATAATGACGTCATTTCTAGTGATAAAGGACTTGCCCCTCTATCCTTAGCCAACGAGCAATGGCAGGACCCGGCAGTACAGAGCATTTCCGATCGGGAGACCGTATGGAAGGAGAAGGACTAGGACCGGCTCTACATGAGCCCAACGTAGATACAGTCGCCTCCCTCAACTGGCTACGTTTCGGTGACCTCTTCGGGGAAACCGAGGGTTATGTCTGTGCAATACAGGATCAGGTTATTAAGACCAACAACTATCGGAGATACATCCTAAAGGATGGCACTGTCGACGTCTGTCGAGCTTGTCGCCATCCCGGGGAGTCACTTAGGCATGTCATCTCCGGTTGTTCGGCGCTTTCTAACTGTGAGTACTTGCACAGGCACAACCTAGTAGCCAGAATTCTACACCAGAAGCTCGCTCTGAAATATGGTCTCGTGAACCGGAAATTGCCGTATTACAAGTACTTGCCGGAAGCCGTGCTCGAAAATGACCGAAATTTGGTGTTTTTCCCCCTTCCCCTAACCCTCGGCCGTTTGGTCTCCCCTGCCGAGGGATTCCATCTGGTTGGGCTTTTATTTATTTATGTATTTTTGTATTTATTTTATTTTAATTATAGTCGTGTATATTTATCTTTTCATTTTAATTTATAATTATATATTTATACATCCCAACCAGATGAGAAAACTATATAGATACCCCACATAATAATAATAATAATAAGCCCCCTAAACAACCACACGTCCTGATTGACTATCGAATCACGTGGGGGTGGACACACGATTGAAAAATTACTGGCGTGGCTAACGTGGCTCTGGAAACCCATTAAACATGGAGACCCGTTCAAAAAGTTAGGACCGCTACCCGGGGGCGATCGCCGGGGCACACCTGGAGCTGGCGCTGGGTGTCTCAGCATGCGAACCATCAGCGGTGAGGAGTTGAACAGGTGGGCCCTCACTGACAAAGATGCTACAGCCGAAACCAGTGACGGTGGTGACAGACTGACTGACCGAACAGATAGTCCTTTAGAACCAATCAGCCCAAGCATGATTTCGTACACACCTTCCAGACCATCATCACCACCGATACCATCGTCATCTTCCATATCTTTATCACCCCCTATTACTAGTTCTCATACAGATTCATCCTTGCCAACCTTGAATGTTGCGCGGGGGGTAAATACCTTCTTGTCCGCGTCCACCAAGGCTGGGAAACCAAAAGTTCGCATGAGATGGAGTAAGGAAGTACACATATTTATCATGTGAACCTACTTCCACATCACTAAATTAGAGACCGACATATGGGCATGAACGTTTACAAGACAATACCCAGAAATTAGTGTAACAGAACAACGTATTTCCGATCAAAGAAGAACAATAGTAAGGAATAAACTTTTATATCAAGAAGTAATAGATCAACTAAAAGAAGTACGTGCACAGTTAGAAGATTTAAATCAAAATCCTATCCCAGAAACACATACACCATCAGAAACTACTCCACAAATACCACCACAATCACTCTCTCAAATGCAACATAACAAACAATCTCAATCTTACAATCAATCACAAGCAAACTAGTATACATAGAGCGCACACATCCACACAAACCGAGAGCATAACCATAATGCTAGAAAATGATATTGAGACTTTAGAAAATGTCGATCAAAATCTGTTATCAGAAACGCACATCCAAGAAATACACGACAAACTGAAAACCGCTCAATATTCAGGTATGGATCCAGTAGCTCGTCCAAAACTACCCAAACTTAAATACACCCCAAAACTGTCTCATCTAGTACATTTATTTAATCGTATCATACTAAAGCAATATATATCCGAAGACACACAACTTGTATATGTACACACATTGATATATAGCACAGCTTTAGTCATTTCTGAAGAACTTAATTATAAAATAACTGAATACGCAGACAGCACATGACCAATAATTATAAACAAAACATCATGGCAACAGAGACTCGAAAGAGATATAGAAAAATTACGAGCTGTACACAATGTATCAACAATAACAGTTCTAACAAAGTAGTCAGAGTCGAGGCAATATTTAAGAACATGGCCAGGCACACGAGACATGAAAACGACAATAGAAAACCTGAAGAATTCTTAGACAATTTAAAACAGAAGCGGTACAAGAAGGCACAAGAACGCAAAAATGATAACGCCATGTTTGCTACTAACGAAAAAAACTTTTACAGAAATTTACAGAAACCACAAATAGACGTAACAACCGACACCAACACCGAACTACCAACATCAGAACAATTGGAGACATTCTGATCAAGCATATGGGAAGAGCAAGTGCAGCGTAATGATAAAGCTGGTTGGATAGCAGATGAAGAATCTAAGTGGAGCGCACTAGAAGAAATGGAATTCGTCAAGATATCTGAATCTGATATAAATAGTATTGCAGCAAAACTACACAACTGGAAATCACCTGGCATTGATAAAGTACATAATTACTGGTATAAAAAACTAGACTTCGCTAAAAACTTAACAGACATCATCTTAGGACAACAAAATATACCTGAATTTATTGCAACAGGAATAACTTACATGTTACCGAAGTCTCAACACTCCCCACAACCGTCCCAATACAGACCAATTACTTGCCTACCGACAATATACAAGATCCTAACCTCAGCAATCACAGCTAAAATCAATAAACACATAGAACGCCACAACGTAATAGCGGAAGAACAAAAAGGGTGCAGACGAGGCCACATGCAAAGAACATTTAATTATAGATTCAATAGTCCACAAACATGCCACAAAAAAATAGAAAACTTCATTGTACCTACATAGACTACAAAAAAGCTTTTGATAGTATTCCACACTCCTGGTTCATTCAAATATTACGTATATACAAAGTAAACCCAAAAATAATAAACTTCTTACATCATATCATGTCCCGATGGAAAACTACACTCCAATTGAATTACCACGACAACATCGTAAGAACTCGACAGATATTTATTAGGAAAGGTATTTATCAAGGTGACTCCCTGAGTCCTCTATGGTTCTGTCTCGCACTGAACCCCCTGTCTCACCTACTGCATCAGTGCCAAGCTGGATATAAACTCAAACACAACACCGCGAAGATATCACTATCTCACACCTCATATATATGGATGACATTAAATTATACTCAAAAACAGAAAAAGAAATGAAAAAATTAATAGATACTACAACAGAATTTATTAAAGACATCAACATGCAGTTTGGACTAGATAAATGCAAAACACTACACATAATAAGAGGCAAAATAAAACCAGGCGACTACACAATTAACACTACTGATACAATCACAGCTATGGAACCGACAGATCTATATAAATATTTAGGATACAGACAACTCAAAGGACTAGATCATACAGCAATTAAACACATACTGAATACAGAATACAAACGGAGAGTAAACGCAGTATGCAAAACACATCTCGCTGGAAAACATTTTATTAAAGCATTAAATACGTACGCGATCCCAATATTAACCTACTCGTTTGGAGTGATTAAATGGACTAAAACTGACATACAGCAAATAGAAATAACCACACGTACAACACTTACCAAACACAATAATTTGCACCCTAAATCCGCAATAGAAAGACTCACAATCAAACGACAAAATGGAGGGAGAGGCCTAATAGACATTCAACACCTTTGGCAGAAACAAATTAGTAGCCTCAAAACATTCTTTCACAATAAATCTCGAACTAGTGACATTCATAAAGCCGTAGCCCTAAATGATTTTAACTACACTCCACTTAACCTAAATGAACACACAGACACACAACACAATAACACTAATAACCCACAAAAACAAAAGTTAGAGGACTGGAAAAAGAAATTCCTGCACGGACGACACCCACATGACCTGGAACAACCACATGTAGATACAGTAGCATCAAATAAATGGCTTAAAATTGGCAACCTATTCCCGGAAACTGAAGGGTTTATCATCGCAATACAAGACCAGATCATCAACACTAAGAACTACAGGAAATATGTCATTAAAGACCCCACAGTAACCAACGATAAATGCCGCAAGTGCTTCACCCAACCAGAGACAATACAACATATAACAGGAGCATGTACAACTCTTACACATACAGACTACACTCACAGACACAACCAAGTAGCAAACATCATTCATCAAAAACTAGCACTCAAACATAAACTTATACAAGACAAAAACACTCCACAAATTATTTTAGAAAATCCTACACACAAACTTTACTACGACCGCGCCATACTTACCGACAGAGCCATTCACTATAATAGACCAGACATAACACTACAGGACAAAGTAAGTAAAATCACCTACCTAATAGATATTGCAATACCCAACACACATAACTTACAAAAAACAATAGGTGAGAAGACAAGCAAATATGCAGAGCTTAAAGAAGAAGTGAACAGAATTTGGAGACAAAATAAAGTTTATATAGTACCCATAGTCGTCTCCACCACGGGTGTCATACCCAACCATCTCCACCATAGCCTCAAATTAATAGACCTGAAAGACTCAACGTACATTATACTCCAAAAAGCCGCAATTTTAAATACCTGTCGAATTGTAAGAAAATTCATGCAATTGGAAGAAAATGAAATAGCTACCCATAACACCCCACCTACATAAATACTCACTACACGCTGCATTTACTTGGCTTCGGCCCGTGTATGCAGTCAGAACTAGCCAAAGAGCTAAGAAACAGAAATGTTTTCCCTACAATAATAATAATAATAATATAATAACCCCCCCCCAAGGGATCACCTTGAAGCCCCCCCAAGGTATCACCTTGACGTGGTGGGGGGGCTTAAAAGAATGGTACTGGATTTATATGGTCATAACAACTGGACCAAAATAAAGAAAAAAATACCTTCTAACTAACGATTCCAATCACCCAGTTATCCGATTACCCAATAATCCATTATCCTATCCTAACGATAAACCCAATTTTTCTTCCTATCTTAATCCCGAATTATAATCCCAAGTATAACCTTTTAATCCCATCCAAGAGGAGTAAACCTCTTCAATTAAAAAAAAACCCTAACCCAAGGTGTGATCCGACCCGTGCCGAAGGGTGCATGGCTGAGAGGGCGCTCAGTCGCGAGCGGAGGACCCTGATACCGGGCAACCTCAGGGTTTTTACATTAGCCTTATCTTCGCAAGCGGGGCGCTGCGGAGACGGACAATATATTTCCCTTGCTACTCGTGGGCCGAAGATGAATGTTAGTTTTAATAAAGAGATATATAATCTGCGTTCACGCCAGGTACAAAATCAGGACTCATCTAAAGAAGAGAGCTTAAAACTTAAAGTTGAAACCAAGAAACAACGAGAGGAGCACTAATATGACGAAGAGAAGGGGACAACTAAAGAAAGTCAATCCCTATTACCGAATTTAAGTGACACCAGAGGAACCCGATGTAAGCTGCAGCGAGTCCCACTACTCTCCGCCTTCTTCTTATAACACATCGTTTTCAAGTAACTCATCCGACTTCTATGATAAGCGTATTACAAAACCAATACTTTATTCAAAATCGTTAGTAGATGTTGTGGAGGAAGCAAAAGCAACAAACTCTTCACCCACTACTAGCGTCAACCGTGCGCAAAGGAAAAAATGGACTTATGAAATGAACAGCTTTATCTGGCGTACATACCTTTACACAACTAACATGGAAACAAACACCAAGCAGTATTTAGACACATTACACAAAAAGTTCTCTGCAGAATTCCCAAATATGAAGGTTTCGAAACAGAGATTAGGAGATCAACGGAGAGCCATACTAAGAAATAAGCTCTTACCTACAAAGGACCTGGAACAAATTAAATCCGAAGTTCAAAATGCCTTGAATAGTTACGAAAATACATCGGACGAAAACATTCCCCCTAATGTTTTTAGGAATATGACAATAAATGGAAAACAACCAATTAATGTAAAGATCTAGCGAATTGGTCTAGCGAACTAAATGAAAAATTAATAAAATCTTATTTTGAAGTCACAGTCTTGGAAACTAATTTAACAGCCTACAGAAAACGAACACGCTGTAAATTTATAGAATACTTCCCAGAACTGTCGCATTTATCAGAACAGAGATTAACCGATCAAAGAAGATCCATAATAAAAAAACAAACTGATTTCTGACGAGCGACTACACGAAATAAGAAGAGAGATTAGAAACAAATTTTTGCAAGCTAGCTATGAAACAAATAACTGTAACAGCAAAAGCATCACAACAGGATTGCCAGTAGAATCAACATCTGTTTTAAATTTACAACTGCTACCTGATAAATCACAACTCAGAATCCTGGAACCAACAACCAGTCAACCGCGATGTAGCGATGTACCGCGAAGTAGTACGAGTAGAAGCGATTCATTTGAGTTGGGGCGGGACAACATATCACTGAATAAGGACAACGTATTAGAACCCAATACCCTTAATTGAACACTAAAAAAAACAACATAGCAAGAAACAAACAAAGAGAAAAACAAAAGGCATATTTCTATGCAGCAATTTCTTCCAGACAACCTAAATAGGAAATAAAAATAAGTGAAAAGTTAAGCAATGGGTAGAGTGCACTATAAATAATATTATAATCTATAAATATAAAAGAAATTTAATAAACATGCCGGAATTTACTTAATTAACAGGCTAGTGATCATAAAACGACAGGAATAGATAAAAAGAGGAGGGATGATTTAGAAGGAAAGATAATGTTTTAACTTGGTTTTTAAAGGAGTCTATTGTTTGAGCACGTTTTATAGTTGATGGTAAGGAATTCCAAAGTTTAACTCCAAGAACTGAAAAAGATTTATTGTAAAATGTAGAAGAGTGCAAGGGACATAGAAGGGAAAGGTTTTCTAAGGATCGAAGGGAAAGTTTGTGAGAGGAGCAGAGAAATTGGAATCGTTCTTTAAGGTAGGGAGGACTTGATACATTAAATAAAACGCAGAAGAGAGCAGAAAGGATATGAGTATTCCGACGAAGACGGATTGGAAGCCACTTGAGCTTAGTGCGGTATTCCGATACATGGTAATATTTACGAAGTCCAAATATAAACCTTATATATACATAGATTTTGGAGTCGCTCAAGTTTGTTAAGTTGCTCTTCGGTAATGTCTAGATAGCTTATGTCAGCATAATCGAGAATGGGGAGCAGTAAAGATTGGGCAAGCATAATTTTGGTGGAGATGGGTAAGAAGTAATTCATTCTTCGGAGTGAACCATAAGCTGAAAACATTTTACGAGACACTGCGTTGATTTGAGGAGACCAAGAAAGGCTAGAATCTATCAAGATTCCCAAGTTTTTCACTACATCCTTATAAGAAATTTTAACACCATTAAATGTTATAGGGTTTAACTGTTTTATTTGTTTAATTTTATTTAATTTGGAGATTATTCTTGAACTACCAATAATAATAGCTTGGGATTTTATCGGATTAACAGTTAACCCATAAGATCGACTCCAGTCAAGAATACACGTTAGGTCCTTGTTTATATCACAAATTGCTTTTGGCAGATCCTCTACGGTTGTTTGTAGATATATCTGGAGATCATCAGCATCACATCACAAGTGGTAGAGAGAAGATATTCTGGAGGTAATAGAATTTATGAAGAGTGCAAATAAGAGAGGAGATAACACGCCACCTTGTGGAACGCCAGCAACGGTATCAAGCCACGAAGACATTCTGTCTTGTACCCAAACACGTTGGCGACGTCCATATAAGTAACTACGAAACCAGGCAATTGCAATTGGAGATATGTTAAGAGAACGCAGTACACCAATTAGTATATCATGATTTACATCATTGAAGGCATTGCTGAAATCCAGCAACACCATCACTGTTACTTGGCGGTTATCCATTCCGAAACGTATGTCGTCAGTGATTTTTAATAATACTGTAGTCGTACTGTGTGCCGGCCTAAATCCGGATTGATATGAATTGAGGATATCATTTCTTGTGCAAAATGAATTTAATTGTTGTTGGACAAGACGTTCTAGGACTTTGGACAGAAAAGGAAGAATTGAAATGGGACGATACTCGGAATAACTCGAAGGATTAGCTTTTTTGGGCCAAGGAATGATTTGGGCATATTTCCATTGGGAAGGGAAGGAGGATGTGAATATAGAAAAATTTAGGATAAAGGTAATAATAGGTGTTAATATATCAAGTAAGGGAATAATCATTTTACGACTGATATCATCACTTCCGACAGCGTCAGAATGGATAGAGAGTATGTTTCTCCTAACATCACAATCTGCATTTGCCTAAACACAAATGGAGTAACGTTAGTTGAGTTGTAGTTGACTTTGCAACATTATCGGTGCAAGAAGCAGAAGAAAAGTGCTGCTTAAGCAAATTTAAATCTATATCATTTTGAATCGAGCTTGAATGTGATTTCCCAACTCCAAGAGACCTTAGGAATTTCCAAACATAGCTTGGATCTTCGTTTTGAACAGATTTATGGATATGGCGTCGTCGTAAGTCTCTACACAACTTGTTGCATCGATTACGTAGGATCCTGTACTTTTCCTGGATCATGTCATTTGTAGGATCTGACTTGTGTCTGGTCTTTGCAGCATTCTTTTACCACCAACCCAATACGGAAAATACAAAACAAGGAAGTCTCATTACATAAGCCAGTGTTGAGTTAGATAAAGAAGAGTTATATATGCAGCGTGTGATCCTGTTAACAGACCGTATATCCCAAAACAAAAATGTGCTAAAAATTAACAGCTATTGTTAATTTCATTAATCTAAATATTTTGCTAGAATATTTAAATTGTGAAAGTGATTTTGAAACTATCCATACAGCTATTTATTGCGCCGCCTATACAGCAATCCAGGTAAACGAAACAAAGTTTTTAAATGAGAATTCTAGTAGGGGTGAAATAAAAAGTTTACCTGCTTGGCAGAGGCGTTTGCAAAATAAAATAGATGATCTGAGGAAAAAAATAGGCAGGTTAACGCAGTACATGAGAGGAAATCGAAGCAAAAAAGTGACTAAAGAAGTCCAAATCATTATAAATAAATATCAAACACATTCAAGATACGAACATGTAAATTCAGATCTTTTGCATTTTCTAGATACCCTCAAACAAAAATTAAGTTCTACGGCAAACCGATTAAAAAATTTTATTACAATGAAAAAGCATTTTATAGGAACTTAGCAGAAAGCGGTGAAGAATTAACCTCAACAAGTTCAACAATTCCAACACCCGAAGATTTTCGAGTATTCTGGTCAAATATATGGTCTAAACCGGTAAGACATACAAATAATAAATGGATAGAAAATGACACAGAAAAGTTAAGCAATCTCCCACAAATGGCATATGATAATATTGACCTAGAATTCTTCAGAGCTGTTATTGCTAATACACACAATTGTAAAGCTGCAGGGTCGGATCATATACATAATTTCTGGTACAAGAAGTTAACTTACACCCACAAGTTACTTCTAGATACATAAATAAATACATAGAATTACCAGAAACACTATCTACCTTTATTACACAAGGAATTACTTATATGTTGCCGAAAGATAAAAAGGATTCAACAACCCCAGAAAAGTATAGACCAATAACTTGTCTTCAAACCATATATAAAATTATTACAGCATGCATAAAAGAAAAAATCTACAAATTCTCATTTGACAATAATATTCAAGCTGAAGAACAAAAAGGTTGTCGGAAAAAAGTCAAGGTTGTAAAGAGCAGTTAACGATAGATGCTATAGTATCAAAGCAAGCATTCATTAATAAACGTAATATATACACAATGTACATAGATTATAAAAAAGCATACGACTCAATCCCACATTCATGGTTAGTCTTCATACTAGAACACTATAAAATTCACCCAACACTTGTGCGTTTTTAAAGCACCTTATGGACCATTGGCAAACTGCAATTAAATTAAAGTGCATTACACATATACCTATAGGGATTTAATTAATATTAAGCGAGGTCTATTTCAAGGGGATTCTCTCAGCCCGTTATGGTTTTGCCTGGCACTTAACCCACTCTCAAATATTTTAAATCACAGCAAAATGGGATATAAAATTAAATATGACGATACTTATTATATTCCGTCGCACCTCATGTATATGGACGACATAAAGCTGTTCGGTAGCTCCCTGAACGATATTTATAATTTAGCAGACTTAACACAGAGCTTCTCAAATGACATTTATATGAAATTTGGTCTAGATAAGTGTAAAATACAATCAGTACGCAGAGGACACGTTGAATCTAATAATTATCAATTAAATGATTTTCAGATTATAGGTCCCGTAGATCAAAACGAAGGATATAAATACTTAGGGTATCAGCAATCCCCCCCCGAACGGGTTCCCGCCTTGTCGTGGCGGGGGGGCTTAGAAGCCGTGGCTTGGTCACCCACGGCGAAACAAAGAGGAACCCATATGGCTGGTCCAAGGTGGAGGGCCGGCCCGAGGTGGCCACTCCGAGTGGGCTTGGGAAGCCCACTTCGGATTTGTGTTGGTGGACTGCGGTGAGAGGTGTGTCCTCCCCACCTACCGCTGCAGCCGAGGTGGAGTCGCGGAGGAAGAGGAGTGTTGGTATGGCGATGCGCTACTGGCCCTATCATCCGCGACTCAAACGGGGCCGCACCGTTGATGCGGTGGTGATGGGGCTGCGGGGGGAGAGGATTGTCGGTATTGCGAGGCGCCGCTCTCCCTATCCTCCGCAGCCGAATCTTGGTTGGCGGCGGAGCCATAGACCAGATCCGCCGCTGGGGTCGGGAAGGCTAGTACTTCTAAGTGCTCGTTTTTCCTGGCCCCATGGCCTTCGCGCATCGGACGAGGGGGCGTCTGTTGCGCAGATGTAATTGGAGGCCGTGGAGGAAGGCGTGCCATGTGTTCTGGTGCGCCTTACGTGGGAAGGAGAACGGGGAGGAATATTCCTCTTCCGATGAGGTGCTGCCATGGGGCGGCAGTCGCTGGTGGGGCCGCGGATGTGTGCGAAAGCGTTCCCGTAGCCCTGCCAATATGCGACGAAGGTGGAACACCATGGGGTTTTAGTCTGCGTTAGTATGCGTAGGCATTTCCCCATGTTAAAAAAAAAAAGGGTATCAGCAATCGCAACAAATACATCTCAGGGTAACTAAGTCTACATTAACACGACGATTTAAAATGAGATTGCATAAAATCTTAAATACACAATTGAATTCCCGAAACACAATTAAAGCCATTAACACATTCGCAATTCCTGTACTAAACTATTCTTTTGGAATAATAAAATGGTCGCAGACTGACCTTAGAAAATTACAACGAATAATTAACACCACTATGGCTAAATATAGAAAACACCATCCACGATCATGTGTTCAGCGACAGACATTGCCCAAAAGAGAAGGTGGAAGAGGACTCATAGACATTCAGAACTTACACAATAAACATTGGAAGTATTAAGAGTAAGAGTGT